AGCTATACGGGTCATTCAGTATCACCTATAACATTATTACAATATACCGTATTATTTTATACATTATACAATATCACACAAGAGAAAATATCCAGTACAAGTAGGTACTGTATCACAAAGTTGTTGCATTTATGAATATCTTAGTTCTAAATTGCAGATAAAGTATTTCATTGTACAGTCCCAAAGTATCCATCGAAGATCAGCTGCTGCAGCTTACACTTGAAGCAAGTTATGTTAAATCTTTTAACAGGTTGTGGAATTCGATTGTAGTACCTTAATCCTTCTGATAAGATGCTGCGTTGGCCAGTTGTAGTGTTCATTGCCGACGTTCTTAAGTTTTCATTGAGTCTGGTATTGTGCTGATGGACTGTGTTGGCTGGGATGAGACTTATTGTAGAGTGAATATTGGAAGTCTTGCAAGAATGGATAAAGATGCACGATTGCAAAATATACAGAGAGTGAACGTTCAGGATGCCATTCGGATAATATAGGGTCAACTGGGGTAATTGTGAACAGTTTTAATAATTTTAACTTTGGTAGTGATTATCTAAGGTTTCTTATTTTCTAAATCTATGAAATTTGGATTCAGTGTCGGTTATAGTGTATCACATATTAATTTACCAGGACAGACCGTCATTTGGCACATTACTTTTTATTTATTTTTTTGATTTACATTTACCCTGGTTAAAAGGGGCAAATGTAAACGAAGGTTTCATGGAGTATTAGGATGATACTAGAATTTTAAGGGGCAAATGAAAACAAATTTAGTATGACTATGTTTTTATAAAAAAAAATTTCAAAAGAAGGGTATTTACATTTACCCCAGAAAAAATAAAATATGTAAATTTCTAAGGGCATCAGAGGGACAAACTAACAAAAAAACACTTAAAAATAACAGCTAGTAGCTCATTAAACAGTGGGCTTAACCTATGTCAACCTATTCATTATCTTAACATCACTACAGTCACAAATCTGCTACCAGCTTTATTTTTCGAAAACCGCTACTGACCCAGGAAAAACATAAATGACTTTTTTGTTTACGATATTGAAGGTTTGGGTTAGTTTAATCATTTCAAATGTTGTAACTTATATCATTTGGCTTCTCAACAAACTCTGTTGATGTAGAATTTAACTCCTGAAACCCTTGAACCGTAACATCTTCTTCTTGATCGATGTTTTGTATACAACAAACTTACTCATAATGGATTTTATTTTTCTTTCTACCCTGAAAATCTACTAATACAAACAACCCTGTTTTTAATTCATTCCAAACTGGTTTATATTCAACTTCACTTATTGATTCCAGTAATGACTAACTTTAATAAATCTTCATCAGAAGAGACACATAGCCGATTCGTCTAACAGTTCTTCTTGAATTTCTTCTTCCTCATGAACAACCTTTCTTTTCTTACCATATACCTTTTTAATCCCATTCTCATTCTTATCTTTTTGCTTTTTATTGGTCCCCTTCTTTTGATCTCTTAACTTTTGAGCAGTTTCCATTTTCTCTAGAACCTGTGGGGTAGTTAAAATTTCGCTATACATTTGTTTTGTGGTTTTAGTCTCGGTATAATCTGCCTCTGTACCTTTTTAACATTTGATTGGTTAATGTCACACGTTAATGTAACTATTACTTTGCTCAGCAAATATGCTAACTATTGTGTTGGAAGTGAATGTGGTGGTGGATGTGTGTATGCCTTTAATAGGTGTAGAATTGTCAGGTGGCTGATCAGGATCGTTAGCATTCGAATTAGGACTTGGCATATCCTGGCAATTTTGTGGTAAAGACACTGACTACCTACCTGATTACCGAAATTTTTGCATTTACATTTACCCCATTTTAGGATTTACAATTACCCCAACACTAAATTCTTTGGGGGTAAATGTAAATAGTATTTTGTAGGTTACTACTTGCAAAATGCTTCTAGTTTTTTGTTTAAAACTAAGCAAGTATGACATTAACCATCACCTAAACCAAAATTCGAATCACAGTTACCGTTTTTGGGTCAGCAATTCACTTCTAAAAAAACCTTCACAAATCTGTTTTTCAGTTGAAACTGCACTGTTATGTTCACATGGCCGCATTTCAGAACCAACTGCCATTTCAACCTCAAAAACCACCCTTGGCTAAACAAAACGCGGGAAATGCGGATAATGTTGTCAATTTTAGGTCAAATTCACTCTTAGCCAGAAAATACAAGGTATTTTCATTTACCCCTTTTCACATTTACCCCAGTTGACCCTAAGTCTTTTGTTGGAAACAGAAATGGCAGCCTAAACAATTTTTTTATAGCACGATTTTGGAGAACTGACAATGGGTGCAGTTTGTTCAGGGAAGCATTGCCCCATAGCAGAGTTAGATATGATATGTGAGAATGGATGAGGGAATTGTATATCATCTTACGATTCGTGATGGACAGATAGTCCGATATTCGACCAAGTACTCCAATTGCTGGTGTAACCTTTTTACATATATGCAAGATGTGCATATCCCAAGTAAGTTTTTAATCGACAAAGAGTCCCAGGTATCTGATGCAATAAATATTGTTTATAAAATCCCCTAAAAGTAATTAGATGTTGCATTTTTAGTTTTTAGCATCTATAAATGATCATTAACAATACTGCATTGATAGTTTGCTGTTAAATTTTATGTAACGAAAAAATTTATCTGCCCTGGCCTATAAGTAAATTCAATTTACTTCACTTTCTCGTGCATCGCTTGAGCTTTCATGACGTCATAGGGTGAGATGCAGTTCCTTCATAAAGCCATATCTTCGGTATTATTTTTCATAGAGGGGTGCGGTTTTCACTGTTATTCTTAGATTTTTTGCTCTTTTTTTTGGGATGAAGTTTTTTTTTTTCTATGCGCGCCCCCTTTAAGGAATGCATTTTCTAATGTCATGTAATCATAATATACCCATATGTATTATGTATTGCTTGGACTGAAATTGGAGAGAGTAAAATCTTTCAAATACATAAATAATCGAATAAATAATAGCTTCCAATCAGATCTTACTTGCAATCTCCATATTGAAAAAAGCGAGGAAAATAGTCATTTTGATGAACTATCTGTATTATTGCACTTTTCTACATTATAAATCAGCATGAGAAATCTAGTCATATGCTTTTTATATAAAATTGTAAATATGTAATTTAATTGATAGTTCTTCTCTGTTAGAAAATATAAATATTCATGTACCCAGGGTTGGCAAAAATCCAGCTACTTAATTGTATTTTGGTGGATAGAGAATTGGATTTTTGGGTTTGGATTTTTGATGTTTTTGGTGGATTTTTGTGTTTTTGATATAGTAAACCTATTTTTATGAGTATTTTAATGTTGAAACCTGAAATTTTTGAACAGATAACCACAAAAGTATCGAAGAGCGCTCAAGAACATTTGGAAGATTTCTGATTCTGATAATTTCTACAACATTCTAGCGTTTCAAAATCATTAGGGAACCAATTAAAAACTTTGGAAAGCATTTTGAAAAACTTTAGAATGCACTCGTGCCAATTGTTTTTTTGAAATCATTTATTTATTCATAAGCGAGTTCATAAGTATAACAATGGAAAATGTTTGGAAAATTTTTAAGCATTTTGAGACACTCTAGAGCAATTTAGAATTTTGATAAGCTTCAGAAAATTTTAAATTCAATTTTCAATTCTCCTGTATTTGTTTCAGACAAATTGGAATCTTTAAAAACATTGTAAAAAGTTACAGATCACTTTACTTTACAAACAATTTAGAACAGGGATCGACCGATACGTTTTTTTTTTTTTAAAACCGATATTGCCGATACCGATACGATATGGATTTATAGAAGGCCGATATATATTTATCTGTTTTCTCCAACCTTTTCCTTTAGTTTGAATGTTTTATTTGTTTTCTTGCACCTTTTCCTTTAGTTTGAATGTTTTATTTATTTGTTTTCTCCTAGTTTTAATATTGTTTGTTCGAGTTCAGATAAGCAGAAAGTTTAGTTTTTTTTTTTTTTAATAAATAAATAATTTTGAATTTGAGTTTAGATAAGCAGAATGTTAAGTTTTTTTTTTATATGAAAACCTAATTAATTTAAAATAAATTTATGAGAAACAATTTCTAATATTTACTTTCTTCTTAGTCACTCCCATATGTACCAACCCCAATTATTAGCTCTTTTAAGCTTCAAAAAAGCCTTAGTGATGATTACTGATCTTCAAAGTATGATTTGTATCGGTCTAAAGTTATCGGCCAATGAAGGGCCGATATGCCGATACACCGATATACCTGAAAAAGGCCGATACGCCGATATACCGATATGCCATATCGGTATCGGTCGATCCCTGATTTAGAATTTCAGAAACATTCTATAACAGACCAGAACACTTCTGAATGTTTGGCAACATTTTAGAACTGGAAACCTTTAGAATATCTTAAAAATCGTCACAAGACATTTTAGAACTAACTTAAAACATTCATGAACATATTAGAGCACTCTAAAAAATTTCTGAACTTATTTAGAATTCCAATGAGCAAATAATACTACCAAAAAGCGCTTAAGAATATTTATGGGATTTCTGAAAACTTTAGAAAGCCCCAAGGAAAGCCCTATAGTGGTGGGGTGGGGGGGTCAATACATGGGAAAGACCCTGTACAATCGAGTGTATAATATTATTCTATACTCTGGTAGGATTTTTCTGTGAATATTTGTGTTAAATAATATGGAAGTATTCATCAAAAATCCATCTAAAAACCAAAGAGTAGAGAAAATTGTTTGTCAACCCTGATGTACGATGTACCCTACCTGTAACTCTGCAAGAGATACAAGACTGAATGAACTGTTCAATATATCACAGCACAAATTCTGACTATTTTAGTCTTATAGTTTATTGGAAATTTGCAGGACATTTTATACAACCGATTGTATTGTAATAAATTGATTTTGTTTGCAGCTTTCTTCCTGAATGAATGATTATCGTTTTTACATGTTATCCTACTTTGAAATCAAAAAAACTCTTACTTTTCTATCTATAATAACCTCGAAAAGGACATCGTTCATTAAGGGCTCTGCAGTAATCACCAGTCCATGATCAAATTCACTGTCGTTCCGAATCGCTGTGGTGTTTTCATTAATTAAGGTGATCCTTTCGCCGCAACGATAATGGAAATAAGCCATCACAACTTAAATATATATCCTTTTGTAGATGGAAAAATCAATTCAATAAAATGGACATGACATAAATTACATTAATATTTGATTTCCAAGAGGTACCATAAATAAACAAATAATAAAACAGCTATCAAAAACAGCTGATTTAAAGTGAAGTGAAGTGTGTACCGTTTGCCGTTGTGTGTCTTTCCTTTTTGGTAGTTGACACTACGATCGCGGTTAGCTGTCAAAAATGTGATCCCGAGCAACTAGAATATCCATTATCGAGTGAATGGAGCTTACTTCAAATGAATCAAATGTTGCACCTTCTGATTTTTTGATTATTGGAGGAAGTATTGAGAGTAGCTTCGATACTCCAAATGCAGTAACTGGCAATGAAATATCCGTTTCCGTTGGGAGGAGCGGCAACGCTGGCGTCAATGATATTAGAGATTTGTTAGTTTGTGCCGCACTAACTTGAATTAAGCTGCAATTTGTAAATATTTCAGATTATGACAAATACACCCGAATAAAACGATCACAAACGAACTCCCCAACGCAGGAAGTGCTGCCCCGAACAACACAAAAAACAAACCTCAGGAGTGCGTTCGAATACGCCCTATTCGTGACACCGAGTGTACACCAGCCATGGCTGGAGTGCGTTTAGAAACGGAGTGTGAAGGTAGAGTAGTTGTTTGTCAGAGTGTTCTGACGTCATCACTTGGAGTGCACTCTGGGTGCGCTATTTCTGGACGAATTGGAGCGTTACGGTAAATTTCAACGTCAAATTTGGTAAAAACCAAAAACCACGGGGCGTTTTCAACCCAGTCCCTGAGTGGGGTAATATGAGCGCGCTCTCTCTAAGCACGTCTACTGTCGATTTCTGAACGATTCAAGCGTAACGCTCCGAGTAAGCACCTGTTAATTAATGAACGGTTTAGAATTACTCTGGGGGTCACTCTCACACCCAGAGTGACGCCCAGGGTGATTTTGAACGCACTCCAGAGATGTCATATGATTCATGAATGTCATGTCATCTGTCATCTCATGCATCAAATCAACAACCAACAACAAACAAACTCGCTCTTCGCTCTCGGCGCCACCGTCCACCGACTCGTCCTATATATTTTTCTCCAATAGTCGAGTTCGGTAATTAGATCCCAGATCGGAGCAGATTTATGTCACGTGGCCACAGAGCTAACCGTTTAATCTGCAATAAACGAACGATCCGGATTTTTGTTGCTTGTTTACCATTACATAAATCAGCTGTTCAAGTTTTATTATTAATATTGGTAAAAATTATTTGAAAGAATCCCTCGATAATTAAAATTGTACTTTATAATTATGGGTGATACATTATTAACATCTGCATTATTTGCTGTTGCTCAAGGGCATGAAATTATATTTGAAGACAGTGATGGTGATGAGGAGGACACAAAAATAAATATTGTTGAGAAAGTTGACAACTTTGCGGAAGAAGTTGTTCCGCGTTTGCGAGATTTACAATTCAAAAGACACTTTCGAATTACTGCATCAGCTTTTGAAGATTTGCTTATAAAAATACACTCTGTAACCAATAAAGCTGTGTGTTCTGGTCGCCCTGAAATTTCATTAGAGAAACAGGCCTTAATAACATTATGGTTTTTGTCAAATACTGAGAGTTTTAGGTAAAGTTGTAAAAATAAGAGTTTAAGAATTGTGTAATTAATAATATATTTGCATTTTTAGATCAGTTGCTGATCGATTTGGGATTAGTAAATCAACATGCTGGTCAGTTTTGTACCGAACTTGCTTTAAAATTTTGGATGTAAATAGGGCCTTTAAAGTTATTTGTTGGCCCTCAAGACACCGAGCTATTACTATTACAGAGGGGTTTCAAGTAATTAACGGACTTGAAGGTACACTCCTACGCTACAGTTTTTGTTGACTCTTTGCTGAAATTTATTTAATTTGCAGGTGTAATAGGATGTATTGATGGTAGCCATATACGCATATTACCACCCAGTGATTATCCAAACTCATATTATAACAGAAAAGGTTTCCATTCAGTACTTTTACAAGGTGTTTGCGATAATCAGAAACTATTTACTCATGTTTACACAGGGGAATGTGGATCAATTCATGACAATAGACTGTTAGAGAAGTCTGACTTATTCAGAGATATTGTTGCAGGAGAAGCCCAATTTCCTAATGATAGTTTCCTTCTTGGTGATTTGGCCTATAAGTTAAGAGAATTTCTCATGGTTGGCTTCAAAAATACAGGAAATTTAACACAAAGACAAATAAACTTTAACCAACGGATTTCTGAGGTTAGGGTGAAAATAGAAAATGCATTTGCCTTATTGAAGGGTCGCTTCAGAAGATTAAAATTTTTGGAAATCGTTAGACACGACCTAATTTGTCTTTTAATTACATCTGCATGTATCCTACATAATCTCTGTATATTAAATGGCGATGAGGCAGATGATATTGTTAATATTCAAGAAGAACGAAACGAAGAAAGGGTGATTAATCATGACGATGTTTATAATCATGTGAACCAGGACCAGCTGGCTGATGCTAAACGACAAAGGATTATGAACCGATTACAAATGTTGCAGAATGGTAGAATGGAATAAGGATAGTAACTTCAAGGTCTTGGTTCATTAAATAAATAGCTACAAGATTTGTTAAATAAATTTGTTTAATACTCTTTATTTTATAATAAACTGCAAAGCTTTACTACATATATATTGAAAGTTATTTAACAAAACATTTTTTTTTCTTTCACAAAACTACCTATGAAACAAAAGGAAAAAGGAACAGAATCCATTGCTATACATACCTATCTAATAAACTAGAAGAACTAAAATAAACATCAGGAACTTAAAACCTAAAAAAAAATAATTATTGTCAGGTATGTCAGTTCTTGGTCTTTTTCCAGACATGGTTTAACTGAAATAAAATAATAAACGTCATCCTAGGAATTCACACAAAAAAATAATAATTTACATACGTTTGCTTGTTCGGGTCATTTGATGTACTGTTCTCAACTGCTGTTGCCAACCTGTCCAATATAGCCAAATATCTATCTTGTCTTTCCAATTTCTCCTTATGTCTTCTTTCGACAGCGTTTTCTATATTTTTTCTTTTACGCATAAAGGAAGATTTATATGTGGGTGTGGTTTTGCTTCCTGATGGAATAGGTTCCTCTGTATCTAAAAAAAAACTTGGCTGCTAAATAACTTTTAATTGTTTCCAACAACAGAATGCGTTTGCACATTTACTAAAATAGTACCTACCTAATCTTTCATCAATCTCATCAGAAGTAGGAGTTTGTGGCGTTCGATTTATAATCAGGCCACTTTTGCTGGAACATGTAGCTATTGCGTTTATCTCGGGTTTCGAGTACAACAGCTTATGCATTAGTTTAAAATATTCCCACGCTTTAAAGCTCTTTCCAGACTGCTCATTATGCTTCTTTACCTGTTTGTACATGTTTTTCAATCCTTTAAATTTTGTATCACATTGCTGTGGTGAATATTTTTGATTAAATTTTTCTTCAAGTTCTCTAGAAACCTTATTCCAGACAAATCTTTTAACTCCTCTTTGAAAGTCCTCGTCATATTTCTCACACAACTGTATTAAATATTTTGTTGACTCGAATGTCCACAGTCTACTTTCTAAAAAAGTCGTAAATTTTACAATACTTTCACTAAAACTATATACTCGTACCTTTTAAAGTTTCAGTTGAAGCCACATCATTATTATTATTGTGAAAAACTTCATCATTCAAATCTTCAACCACATGTGAGGATGAAGCCTGATCCTCGGCCTGATCTAGCTCTTTATTAGGACACGTAGTATTGTTAGGCGAGTTTTTGGACAAAACTATCTTGAAAGCAGCTAATAGATTTGTTTTCTCCTTATGTTTCTCCAAAAGTGTGGTCGCCAAAGCTAAATCTAATGTCGAAAACAACTGTATAAATAATAAGGCAAAATACTAAAATAGATACCAAACTTACCATTTTCATTAATAATTTTGTCAAATTCATCATCAGAAACTTCGAGAGTGTAAGTTAGATTTTCTTCATTGTCGAATAATGATAATTCTTTCATCCTGGCTGCTGGCTTTTATTATTACCACTTTCTCAAAAATTAAAATTAACAGTCAACACAAACAAAAACTAACCTCAAATGCCATGAAAAGTACAGATTAATCTATTTCATCTGTCTAAAAAGCTGGAGCAAACGGAGGTCGTCCAGATTGATCCGATTGAATAACCGAACGATGTAGATTTTCGTCCGCTACCTCCGGAGCTAATAAACGAACGCTTCAGATTAAAAAGATCGATCTAGATGTAAATACCGAACGCGACTAATGTTCTTTTCGCATAATTGTACAGTGTAGTTAACGATTTTTATAAACTGTGTGCTTTATTTGCTCGCTGCTATAAGTATAATAAGTTGGCAGTTACCACACTCACCACCCCCCAGGGTACAAAGATCAAGTAGAATTTTATTTCAAATTTAACCTAACTTTATTGTGGTCTTCCATGAAAACAAATAATAATAATAATAATAATAATAATAATATTAAATAGTGCTGGCAATTGGCAAATTGCCTAGTAGCAAAGCTATAAAACAAAACAAGCAAGCAAAATAATAATAAGTATTATTCCACAATAATTGATGTTCTGTGAGCCGGTTTAAATATTAAGTGGTATACCTATCGACCCAAAAATGGCGTTGAAAAACGCATTCGATCTGCCTAATTTGGATAATTTATTGTAAGTAACTAACATATACCATAATTTATATAACAATCGTATCTTATTAAAATCAGAAAAAAAATACCGGGTCCGGTACGCTTTCCGGACACACAATTTCTGGCATTTTTTCAATTTTAATAAATAGAGGGTCCTCAATATAGTATTTTCCAAAAGAAAAAAATGCGGAATATTCAGCCAATTTTCAGAAAAAAAAATAATTGAAAATTTCAATTTTAAATTGTTAAACAGTGTTATACCTATATATTTTTTTTTCTATATTTCTCCAGACTATTTTGTAAAATATATTTATTAAGTACTATTTAGTAAAACAATTTCAAAATAAACACACAACAAAAACATACAAATATATTAACAAAAAAGAAATATTTACAAGGTTCTATAACGTGCCGCTATTTGACTAATTAGATGCGTCATGCGTTCCCTTGATCGCCGACCATAAAAAGAATTCCACATAAATTGGTCAATATATTCAGGCAAAAAAGTGAACTCATGACGCACAATCTTCGCAAGAACCCTTTTAATTGGGAATTGAGACCAGTACCCTTCAACATAATTGGTACAAACATCAGTAACAGGATCACGAAAATATCAACTATGATTAACCGTACGATGTATATACCCATGATGTTGAAGAATATTATACCCTCTCCACTCATCAATCCAGATTTCGGACCCTGGTGCAACAATGTTTCGAATAATTGGAATTAATGTTGCCGCTGACCTATTGGGGACAAATTGAATATATCCCTTTTTGGTCGTGGTATCAAAAATTCATGTCTATCAACTTAGCGAGACAACTTCGAAAAATCGATTTTCCATTATGCCAAGAATTTGCCGCTTTTTTGCCGCTAATTAAATGTGGAATTAAAAAATTTGCCGCTCTTTTGGTTTTTTCTTAATTACGTGTTTTGCTAACTTGACGTCAAGATAGCGAGACAACATCACTAAATATGCCAGCACTAAAAAACTAGGTACGTGGAAATTTGCCGTTTTTTTGCCGCTAATTAGTTGTGAAAATCAAAAATTTGCCGTTTTTTTTTTTCATCAAAAATCAAGTTTGAAAAAAAAATCATTTGTTTCGCTAACTTGACGTCAAGTTAGCGAGACATTATCACTTAAAATGTCGGTAGTGAAAAATTGAATGAATAGAAATTTGCCGTTTTTGCCGCTAATTTGCTGTGAAAACCAAAAATTTGCCGCTTTTTTTACAAAAAATCAAGTTTGAAAAAAAAATCATGTGTTTCGCTAACTTGACGTCGAGTTAGCGAGACAATATCACTAAAAATGTCGGTAGTGATAAGTTGAGTGAATGGAAATTTGCCGTTTTTTTGCCGCTAATTAGATGTGAAAACTAAAAATTTGCCGCTACCTTTCTTTCCATAAGAAAATCGTGTTCGAAAATAAAGTAGTGTTTTGCTAATTTAACGTAAAGTTACCGAGATCACTAAAAATGTCGGTACACTGAAAAAAATACCCGATTCAAGACAAAAGAATGATGCTTTTGGATTTTTTTCTCTTCTATCAAAAAAAATTTCTTTCGTTCAAATTCTCTGCTCTCAACTGAAAATCATGGATGATTTTCCAATAAATTTCTAATTCTTTTGGATTCAAGCGCCTTTGAGAGAGCATCATTGACTTTGTTTCCAGTCCCTGCATTGTTGAGCTTTTCTGGAAAGCATTAGTCTTTCATTCAAAGTCTATGGGCGTTGCGTAGAGTACTCTACATACGCAATTCTCACCTTTCAACAGCTCCAGACCACCCGAATACTCACTCGCCTGCAGTACCGATTGACCGATGACATACGCATAACGCGCGTGCATCATGCATCGGCATCAGATTTCGTTTATTAGTTTGGGGTTTGTGCATTTATTCTATAATCTAGAATGAGTAAAGTGATTCCGGTGAATTTGAAATTTTTCTGAAAACGTGGCGGTTGAGCCATTCACTGGAAACATCAAGAGGTAAGTACCTATTAATACATTGTAGATTTTTCAGTTGAAAGCTGTTTTGGATTATATTTATCGTTTTGAAATATATCAAATGAGACTGCAGGCAATGCAGACATAATCTAAGGTGCAGACGAATATATTTTAAAACATTTGTTCAATAATGTTACCAGTAAAACATGTCGCTATATTGGCCATTTTGGCATTTTTGTGGTGATGAAATCGGCTTGCTTTTTTTTTAACATAAATCTCCTTCACTCGTATGACAAAACCCTTGGTTTTGTGACAAAGCTCTTGGTTTTATGACAAAATCGTTGTTTTTATGACAAAACCCTTACTTTTGTCTCAACGTCACGAGGCTTTGAAAGTAAAAGTTTATTAATTTAGCCGCAAAGCATGTAGCATTTGATAATTGGTGTTTTCTTCTAATTCAAAGTCTACTGTTTTTAAAAAGCCAAACCAAACTGACTTACTTTTTATTGTTTTTCTAGAACAAATGAACCATATGGATGAATTAACCAAAAATATTGAAGACAGAATTAAGTAATTGGAAAGGCTAATTGAATTTTTGAAGAACAAGGAAAATAAAGTAAGGAAAAAAAAATATTTTATTTATATATACCGGGTGATTCTCAGATGACGCTCGTCCCTTTAACTTTTTAATTTTTTAAGATTTTTTTCTCATATTTTGGTAGAAGGTATAAGTCATTGGTGTGCATTGTTTCACATAATAAGTACCTTTCTGATACTTCCGGTTTCTTTGGAAACAACCGTAACTTTCAAATTTTAAATGGAACACCCAGTATATTTTTAGATATTTAAATTCGCCTCTTTATTCTAAATATGAAAATTTATATCATTATAATTTTTTGACATTTCTGAAACCGAAATTACCAATTCGCACTTTTCATCTAGCGTGCCATGAGTGACATTAATTGGTAGGTTTTGTACCCAAATAAGGGTTAAAATTATTATTTATTTTTATTATTGCAAAATGCAACTTCTACAGCCATTTGAAATTTTCAAATGCGTAAAAGTTGATTTTTTCTTATGGAAAGGGTAGTGCCTCACGGAATCAACTAAACAACTTTTTTCCGACTAATAGATTGATACTATACAATAATGTCTCCTTTCATGTTAAACTTCTGCTAGATTCTTAGCTTTAATTTTTTGGAATAAAATCTTTGAAATCACCCTCGTAATACAAGTTGATTAACTTAAATGACGTTAAGCACCTTCTTTTATTAGAAATTTGACACAAGTTGTCAGACTAATTTCGTATTCAAGCGTTTTTTTTTTCTGTGAAAGAGAAATAATTATGAATTTCACACGCAGCGAAAAGATTGACATGATTTTAGTATTCGGTGGGTGCAGGCAGATTGCGACACACGCAGCTCGCGTATACGCTGCGGAATATCCAAATCGTCGCCACCCAAGTCGACATTATTTTCCCAGATTGATAGAAATCATGAGGACTGAATCAAACAACGTTAACGGACCATTCGTTTCAAATGAGGAAAAGGAAGTTGAGTGTTGGATATGGTTGCTGTAAGTAGGGTAGCTTCAAAAGTTCAACGAGGGAAATCGCTGCAGAATGCGACATAAGTCAGGTTCCAGTATGGAGAATTCTCAATAAACAAAAATTCAAGTTATTCAAATACCCGCTACATCAGCACTTGTATCCAACTGATTATGATCGACGCCTTGAATATTGTAACTGGTATTTACCAAAGTACAGAGAAAATAACAGATTTCCATCCCAAATATTGTACAGGGTGTTTGTTTATAACTGGAACACTCAATAACTTTTTTATTATTGAGAATAAAGGGCATGTTCAAATTGGAAAATTTCTTGGTAAATTGCAACGATCTTAATCGCTAAAACGAGATTTGTTTGTCTCCATAGGTATACAGGGTGCGTCAAAAAAGTCATTTTTTTAAATGGAACGCCCTGTATATTTTTACATTTTTGAAATTCTTAGAAAATCAGCTTCACAATCAAACTAACCCAAACTAACCCTACTCTGATGAGAGTCGTTTTACAAATTTAGTCGTTTTACAAATTTCAGTGTGTATTAAAGCCTGTTTACACTACATGCAATCTCGTGCAATGCAATAATTTCTTGCCTGAAGGCATGCGTACTTTGTTCTTTTTCGATAAGTTGATCATTGCATGGAATTAGAACTTGCGCTAATTTTATTGCACGTTGCGTGCCATTTTCGTCAAATTTGTGTTTACTTCCCCCACCTGCGGGTTGGTTTGGTTTGTTGCAAAAATTAATATTAATTTGCAAAATCCAAAAATGAAAACACAATATAAAAATATAAGGCAAATCAGCTGTTATATGTCATTTTCTTTAAGTTGGCACAACCCGCTATACAAATGACTGCTACCTATGTAAACGGTAGAAGGCATAAAATTGCATGTGCAGCCGACTGCATGCCATTTTTAAAATTGCATTGCATCTAAAGTCTGTTTTTTTTTAAAGATAATTCCCCAAGTCAAAAATTTAGTAACTATGTTGGCAACACAAGCCTTTTCTACATAAAAAATTTGAAGCATTGACAATTTTACATTGTATTGCCAACATAATGTCAGTTTGACTTTTATCTTTAAAAAAAAAACATATTTTAGTGTAAACACCGTTTTAGTGTGTTTTTGCCTTATTTTTTGTGTCAAATTGGATATGTCAAATTTCTAATAAAAGGTGGTTATCATTCAACATTATTTCAGGTGATTAAATTGTTTTACGAGGGTATTTTCAAAGTTAAGCAATCTAGCAGACGTTTAAAATGAAAGAAAATATTATTGTGTAGTATCAATCTATTAGTTGGAAAAAAGTTGTTTAGTTGATTCCGTGAGGCACTACCCTTTCCATAAGAAAAAATCAACTTTTACGCAAATGAAAATTTCAAATGGCTGTAGAAGTTGCATTTTCCAATAATAAAAATAAATAATAATTTTAACAGTTATTTGGGTACAAAACCTACTAATTAATGTCACTCATGACACGCTAGACGAAAAGTGCGAATTGGTAATTTCGGTTTCA